TTTGGGGTTGGTTTCCAATTTCAGTCCCTTGTGGTCAGAGAGGATGCTTGGTATGATTTCAATTTTCTTGAATTTTTTGAGGCTTGTTTTGTGTCCTATCATGTGGTCTATCTTTGAAAGTGTTCCATGTGCATTTGAAAAGAATGTGTATTTAGCTTCTTTGGGATGAAGGGCTCTATATATATCAGTTAAGTCCATTTCATCTAGGGTGTTGTTTAATGCCACAATATCTTTGTTGATATTTTGTTTGGAAGATCTGTCCATTTTTGATAGTGGGGTGTTCAAATCCCCAACTATAATTGTGTTCCTGTCAATAGCTTTCTTGAAGTCCTCTAAGATTTTCTTGATATATTTGGGTGCTCCTATGTTTGGTGCATATATGTTTACAATGTTAATGTCTTCTTGGTGGATTCTTCCCTTGAGTATAATGAAGTGACCTTCTGGGTCTCTCTTTATGGCCTTTTTTTTGAAGTCTATTTTGTCCGATATGAGAATTGCTACCCCAGCTTTTTTTTCTTGTCCGTTTGCTTGGAAAACTTGTTTCCAGCCTTTCACTTTTAGTCTGTGATGGCCTTTTGTCCTGAGGTGGGTCTCTTGTAGGCAGCATATGTGTGGGTCATGCTTTCTTATCCATTCAGCTATTCTGTGTCTTTTCATGGGAGCATTTAATCCATTTACGTTTAAGGTTATTATTGATAGGTACTTATTCATTGCCATTTTTGTACCTGTGTTCCTCTCTGTCACCCTCTTATCCTTCCTTCCCTTAAAGCAGTCCTTTTAGTATTTCTTGTAGAGCTGGTTTGGTGGAGGCGTACTCTTTTAGGCTTCTTTTGTCTTGGAAGCTCTTTGTTTGGCCTTCTATCTTGATTGAGAGCCTCGCTGGGTAAAGTAGCCTTGGTTGTAGGCCTCTGGTTCTCATTACTTGGAATATTTGTTGCCATTCTCTTCTTGCTTGGAGTGTTTCCATTGAGAAGTCAGTAGCTAACCTTATTGGGGCTCCCTTGTATGTTATTTCTTTTTTCTCCCTTGCTGCCTTTAAGATTCTCTCTTTGTCTTGGAATTTTGGCATTTTCATGATGATGTGTCTTGAAGTGGGCCTCCTTGGGTTCCTCTTGATTGGGACTCTCTGTGATTCCTGGGCTTGTGAGACTTTTTCTCTTATCAAATTAGGGAAATTTTCTCTCATTACTTGTTCAAATATGTTTTCTATTCCTTGTTCTTCTTCTTCTCCTTCTGGTATTCCCATTATTTGGATATTATTACGTTTCATATTGTCTTGCATTTCTCTTAATCCCTCTTCATTCTTTCTGAGCCTCTTTTCATTTTCTTGTTCTTCTGTGAGATGCTTTCTACCTTGTCCTCCAACTCACTAACCCTATCCTCTGCTTCATCTATCCTACTTTTGAAACTTTCTACTGTGTTCTTCAATTCGGAAATTGTATTCTTCATTTCCTCTTGTCTGTTGCTGATAGTTTCTATTTCCTTTTTCATATTGCTGTAGTTTGCAGAGAGATCATTATAGTTCCCCTGTAGTTCCTGGTAGTTCACTGTGAGCTCTTTGAACTTCGTAATAACCAGTGCTTTGAATTCACTATCTGATAGTTAATCAGCCTCTATTTCATCTAACATTCTTTCTGAAGTTTCTGCTTTTTCTTTCATTTGGGGATTGTTTCATTGTCTTCCCATTGTTTGAGACTCTTCTTGTTAGTCTCCGCTTCTAAAATTGATCTGTTCTGAAACCCTGGTTTTATGGTGTGAACTTCTGTGGTATGATCCTTGTGAAGTTCAGAGGTGCAGACTCCTTGAAGTTTCTTGATGTTCTTCGTCTCCACCTACTCTCACGCTGGTCCTTGTGCTGGTCCCTGCGTTGGTCACCTACCACTGCTGAATGTCCCGGCTCTAGTAGCTGCCTCCTCAAGCACCCAGGCCCATTATTACGGCAGCGGCACAGAGTCTGGGAATGTCCCAGCTCCCATATCTGGCTCCTCTGCCGCCCAGGGCCGTCACAGGGGTTTGGAGTGTCCTGGCTTCTGTACCTGACTCCCGGTGTCTAGTCCTGTCTCTATGGCAGTGGCACAGAGGCTTAGAATGTCCCAACTCCTGTACCTGATTCCCCAGCGTCCATCCCGTAGCTATGGCAGTGGCACAGGGGCTGAGAATTTCGCTCCTGTAGCTGGCTCCTCTGCAGCCCACGGCTGTCACAGGGGTTTGGAGCGCCCCGGCTCCCGTACCTGATTCCCCAGTGTTCAGTCCAGTCGCTATGGCAGCAGCACAGGGGCTGAGGACGTCCTGGCTCCCATAGCCGGCTCCTCTGCCACCCAGGGCCGTCACAGGGGTTTGGTGCATCCTGGCTTCCGTACCTGATTCCCCAGCATCCAGTCCAGTCACTATGGCAGCAGCACAGGGGCTGAGGACGTCCTGGCTCCCGTAGCTGGCTCCTCTGCCACCCAGGGTCGTCACAGGTGTTTGGTGCATCCTGGCTTCCATACCTGATTCCCCGGCATCCAGTCCCATCGCTATGGCAGCGGCATAGGGTCTGAGAACTGCCCGGCTCCCGTAGCTGGCTCCTCAGGGCCCAGGCCTGTCTCTATGGCGGCGTCACAGGGGCCTTTGGTGTCCCAGCTCCTGCAACTGACCATTCCGTTGCCCAGGCCGGTAGCTATGGCATCGGCACAGGGGCTGAGAATGTCCCAGCTCTGGTTCATGACTCCTTTGTCTCCCAGGACCGTCACAGGGGCTTGGAGTGTCCGGCTCCCGTACCTGACTCCCCGGCTCCCAGGCCTGTTGCTGTGACGGCAGCACAGGGGCCGCGGGAGACCCAGCTCCAGTAGCTGACTCTGCCGCCGTCTGGTGTTTCAGCATCGGTCACAATCTCTGGTCTTTTAATTTCATAAATGCTGGGTAACCGATGGTTTGTTGTGCTGTTTCTCTATAGATCTGCCAGGATTTTCACCCATGAGTACAGGAGCTAGCATCAGCTCCGTCTTACTCCGTCGCCATCTTCCCAGCATCTCCTGGATTTTAGCATTCTCCCACAGCTTTTTTAGTGCCTCTCCAATTTTTCCTGGCAAGTCATTTATTTTCAAAGCTCTTGCTTTGTACACGGTTCTATTCTTGACAGCATTATATTTGTTTTACTATAGTAGGTAATATGTTTACAAAAGTTAGTACATAGAGGGGGCATGTTAAAAATGCTTGATACATACTGTGCAAAAGAGATAGCCTGAATCCTATTTTTTATTATTAAAACTACACTTGGTACTTGATCAGCAGGGATATTAGGATTCTGAGAAGGAACTTAATTCCCAGCAATACAGAACATATCTCTCTAATGCCCCATCTAAATGTCTATGAGGGTCATAGGAATCAATGCTGATAAATCTGATTTGATGAAAAAGGACGTAAAGGTTAAATGCCTCTGTGGCTGCAGAGAACACCCAGCTTTTAGGATGTAGGTTGTGTGTAATCAGATGGAGATTAAAAATTCAAGCAGCCTGAGACACCTATAGTTGGTAGCAGAACTGGATCCAGAAAAACAATTTAGTTCTATTGTACTTGCCACTCAACATTAAGATGCTGCCCATGACCTGGACTTTTTAACTCTCCATAACTAGTTGGATATGGCCCTGCAGTCATAACATCAAGGGATGACACCATATGGGCTTATGAGTGAAAATATGTCAACCACATCTCACAACAGCATGAGGAGACCACTGACAAGTAAAAAAAAAACCAGCTTAGGCAAAAGTTGCCAATTGCAGAAACATTATTGGAAAAATGTAAGCTTGGGATGAGAATAACTCCAAAGTTAAATGAGTATTTAACTAATAAGGTAAGATGATGCCTTCCAGGGGCCAAATAGGCACCATGAGAAGCATACTAGTGTCTATTGACCTAGCAACAGATTGTGGGAATGTATTGTAGGAAATAATTAGAGGTCACTGATACAATTAGCTCTAAGGATGTTTTTTGAAGTGCTGTTTAAAAAAGTAACAAAAATCAGAAGCAATGAATGATCAATAATAGGGGATCAATTAAACTGTTATGGTTTCTATTATACAATTGCATTATACAATATAATGCAATACAGCCATTAAACAATTTGTAGATAACTTTTTTTTTTTTAAATATTTTATTTATTTATCTTTAGAGGGGAAGGGAAGGAGAGAGGGAGAGAAGCATCAATGTATGGTTGCTTTTCGTGCATCCCCTGCTGGGAACTGGCCTGCAGGGGACTGGTGTGCAACCCAGGCATGTGCCCTGACTGGGAATCGAACCGCGATTGTCTGGTTCGCAGGCCCGCGCTCAATCCACTGAGCTACACCAGCCAGGGCAGTAGATAACTTAATAAATGAAATTATATTCATATAAGTATGTAACATTTATATATAATTACAATATATAAGTATATAAATGGATGTATCTTAAAAAGAAGGTTACAGTATATAAAGTCTGAGGAGGAAATAACCAAAAGTGTGAAAGAATTATCTCTGGGTGGTAGTGATTAAGACAAATACCATATGATCTCACCTACAAATGGAACCTGATCAATAAAATAAACAAGTAAGCAAAATACAAGCAGAGACACTGAAGTAAAGAACAAACTGACTGTAACCAGAAGGATGGGGGAAGGGGGATAATGGGGGGAAAGAAGGGGAAGGATCATCAAGGAACATGTATAAAGGACCCATGGACAAAGCCAAAGGGGCGGGTAGGATTGAGTGTGGGACATGGGGGTGGGTGATGCAGGGTACAGTGGTGGGGGGAAAATGGAGACAATTGTGCTTGAACAATAAAAAAAATACACTTTTTCAAACATCCAAAATGAACATGCATTACTTGTGCAATGATAAAAAGATACAAATTATGTCTTTTTAATGAACAGATGATTTATGTTATCAGGTTTCCCTCTTTGCTCTGTTGACATGGTGTTTTGGGTCATGGCTATTGAAGCTGTGAGTAGAACTTGGTCAGTCATGAGTCTTCCTACTTGTCAGTACCATGGGTAGGGTTGATAATTTGAACTTTGGGTAGTTCTCAAGTTTGTTCTTTTTTCCTGGGCACTGTGGTGAACTAAAGCTACCATCTTTTGGAAGGGCCTCCTCCATATACTCACCCCTTTCCAGATATTCTTCATACAAATGATTTTTTTCTTTCAGACTCTTTTTCTGCTGCAGATATTCTTGTTCATACAGGTATGCCTCTCCTTTCAGACACTTTTCTTCCTCCAGATGCTCATTCTCCTCCAGATACTCTTTATCTTCATAAAATGGAGATTCTTCCTTTGAACTCTCCTCCTCTCCCTCAATGTCCTCTTCCTCTGAAGATAAGGTCTGTGTGGATTGTTGGGAAGTGGTAGAAGGGTGAAGAGATGATGACTCCCCTGATAACTGATTACTTTCAGCAGACATGTTGGGGAAGCATTAAGTGGATGAAAACCTTCAGCAGCAGATAAAGTCACTTCATCATCCTGGTAACCAACAAAGGGGTAAAAGTTCATTGGTTAGTAATTGCCTACTGCATATGATTATGTCCATTTTTGTTAGTTTTATTCTGTAGTCTTTTAGTATGCAGATCGGTACATGGTGGCCCATGAAAAGGCACAAAAGAAGGGGACAGGAATTTTACCCTCAAGGAGCTAGTGGAGAAACCACACCTGAAGGCAATACCTTTAAAATTACTGCATGATATGAAATAAATAAGAAGAGCTGAAAAGTGAGGACATGATCAGTGTTTAGTGGTATAATCATTAGAGAAGCCTTTTATTTATTCATGAAGATGTATTTACTGCCACAATAAGTAAGACAGCAACTGTTTTCCAGGAGCTTGAAATCTGGGGAGAAAAACAGTCATGCAGATTTCTATTTATGAGAAAGCACAGTGGAAGAGTTACAGACAAGATGGTATATACAGGGTGATTGGTCCTTGGTCAATGAGGACCCCTATAGGTGGAGGTCTGTGGGGCATGTAATCATGCCACACACACTGCCACTTCTGCTGGAAGCTCCACCCACTGTTAGTTTACTTAGCACATTGCTAATGTTTGCATCCCCAGCTTCAACATAACTGTGTGCACCTTGACTCCTCTAGGAAGTCTTCCATGCTCCATGCTATGCTCCATTTGTACCATGTTGATTTTCATTTAAGTAACTATTTTGCTATACTAAATAATTTATTTGCATGTCTGTCTTTCCAGCAGATTGTGAACTTCTTGAGAGCAGAAAGGATTGATTATTGTTTAAAAACATGTTTTGAAGCCTTCCACTCTTCTCCATCTTCACTGTATCCACAGCGAACATTCATGTCTCCCCAGTCTGGATTGCTACAGCACACTCTTAAATGGCCTTCCTGTCATCACTGCTGGTGGTCTTCTAGTATTCTTGTGAAAATCATATCATGATATGCATTGTTTAAATCAGGTCATGATATGCATTGCTTAAAAATATCCCAACAGCTTTCCCTTGCACTTAGAATAAAAAAGCAAACACCATTCCATGCCTTCCGGGGCCCAGTAAGATCTATTACCTATCAGTCTCCATTCCCTACTCTCCTAACCCTGTTATTATCTCCCATAACACTTACCATTATTTCTAATTATGTTTGTTTCTGTGTTTACTTGTTCAATCTTTCTTTTCTACTAGACTCTAATTGTCTGGGTGACAGTGGCCTTATGTGACCCATTCCCCACTCTATCTCCAATGGTTAGGGTGGTGACTAATACAAAATAGATGTCCAATAAATATATGATCAGTGACTGAATGATAGGCCAAGAATAAAGGGCTCTGGAACAGTGTGTCTCAAAGTTTTAAATATAATATTTATTCTGCACAATGAGATAAGTTGAAAGCCTGTTCATTGTGGAGGCCACCTGCCCAGAGTCTTCCTGTTTGCTCCAAGGACTTAAGAAATAAATATCTTGGCCTACTTTTTTATAGACCTCTGATTGAGAAGCTCTTTTCTAGGGACCCAACCAGATAAGATAATTAGGATCAGTTTTTTTTAACATATATGCAACAAAATGAAATGCCCAAAATGAAAGAAGTAATGTATAAAGACATTCCAAATGGAGCAATGGGCTTATTTTGTCTGCCTGCAGCGTTGCTAGAGCTCTTGGGTTATTGGATTTCAATAGGATTAGCTTGGGGCCGTGTGGTGTGTGTAGAGGTGTGCTGCCTAGAACTCTTTTCCAAGAAGGACTTGCTTCCCAGCTGTAGGGAATGTGGTCAACAGATAGCCACAAGCCACCAGCTGTATTAGGATCTGCCTCAGTTGCAAAGAGTCTCCTTCTGGAAGTCATGCCCTTATCAGGGCAGCCTGAATCTGGTGACTAAGCAAGGTGGGGATATGAGTCCAGCCCACCACAGCTGGGACACCTCTGAGAGGTGGTATTCACCCCAGAGATTTGCACCAGGCTAGCAAAGCTAGCTAACTATTCCACAGCACTCTCTCCCTGCCAGTTCTGTGTTCTTGCCCTTCCTTTCTCAAGTGTTGGTTCCTAATGAACATTTTGCATCTCAACAGGTTGTATCTTGATAGTTTGTACCTTAGAATCTATTTCCAGAGAAACTACCCTGTTACAGGCAGCTTCACAAAATATAAATCTGGAAAAGAATTTATTGTAAACTTGGGGAAAGAGAAGGGAAAAGGCCTCATGGATAGTTTGATACTTTAGAAGTTGGCAGGGTGAGGAGCAATCAGACCTGCCTGGGGCGGGGAAAACTGGCCTGGCAAAGAGATGACAAGGCAGTAGAAGTAAAGGCAAAGCCAGGATGCAGAAAACTTTAAAACCCATTACCATATTAAGCATCTTGTTTTGGGTGGTGATTGAGAAAATGATAGGATTAAAGCAATCCTGGATGGAACAAGAGGATTCTTCTGGCCATTCACCAGGTGGTTAGAAAAGAGCAGAGACTGGGATTTCCACCTGCAGTTGATTTCCTCTTTTCTCCATCACTTCACAGCTCTGTAGTATATGCATGCCTTTGCCTGTAGGCTACCTCAAATGTTTTTTTTTTTTTTGAGAACGTGAGGTGTAAATCATACATGAGATGAGGGTGGAGGGTAGTGTCTTTGCAGGAAAGGGTGAGCTGCAAGAAAGCTTTGGGGCCAATATCTATGTCTACAGGAGCCTCTTCTGTTTTAAAGGAACCCTCCAAATCTTATTTTGATTTAAAATCTAAACCTACATCTATAGTTATCACTTCTGTCCCCACTTGCTTCTGATGTCCTATCTGTAAGGCAGAGCAAGGTGAAAGGGGAAGGGGAGAGCAGTGGGAGAGGGCATCTGTCCAGATCATGTGGAAGCAGTGAACGTGCATACTTAGGCACCAGCCACTCCTTCAGAGATGTGCTTACACTTCAACAATCCTCTACCTTTATTTTTTAGCTGCTTAAGATGAAAGATAAAAATCAACTGGTCCCCTGCACAGCCCAGAATACATTTATCAACAGCATTTTGTCAACTTTCTTTCCATTTTCTCATCAGGTCTTGTAAAAACCTGCAGTCAGCTGCATTCTGGTGTCAAAGATTCTAAAAGAAACTGTACTCTAGATACTCTCTTTAATTATCCTTGAAATTTATAAGAAAAGCTGTTAGCCAGAAATAAATAGTAATGGCAACCAGATACCTAGTATGGGGGCAAACATCCTGGAGTTGATTTGTGATTTAGATCTTGACTCACTTTGATCCTGATTTCTGACAGATTGCAGCCTAATTTTTGCAGTCTCAACAGGAAATGTCAACTTTATAACAGATGATTATAACCAGCTGATTGTGGCTCATTGATCTCTAGACTAGCTTCATAAAATGGCTGCTTCAGTCACTTAAATAATTTTTAAAAATTAGAATGAATATTTAGGATTGACAGAATTCACAAAAAATCAAGGGTCCGACTTCTCCTGGAAATAGGAGTCTGGGTGCAACCGTGGACTGGCTTTCCCATGTGGAACCAATGATGCTGCCCTCTTTGAATGGACAGAACTTCAGCACTTTTCATTTCTGCCTCTGTTCCTACTCCTGCTCAATTCTTGGACAGACTTTTTATCTCACATGTCCTGTTGTTTTGTTTCAATAGAAAAAGTGAAGCCATGTCTATCAAAAGTGGGAAAACAGCCTTGGCTGGTGTGGCTCAGTGGATTGAGTACTGGCTTGCGAACCAGAGGATCACTGGTTCAATTCCCAGTCAGGGCACATTATGGGTTGTGAGCCAGGTCCCCAGTAGGGGGTACATGAGAGGCAACCACACATTGATGTTTCTCTCCCTCTTTTTCTTTCTCCGTAACCATCTTTCTAAATATAAATGAATGAAATATTTTTTAAAAATTGGGAAAACAAAAGATACACCAACAGGTTTGATTTTTCTCATTCTTTGCTTACTCATGCATTGGCTTTAATTTTCTAGACCCCATGGAGGGGTGGTAACTTTGCTCCAGGCTATTTGATGGCAGAAGTTACCTTGATTACACAGTTCTACTGAATGCCAGCACCCAGCGTGGTGTTTGGCACATAATAGGCGCTTAATAACAGTTAATTACCCTATTGAATCAATAAGTGAAAGAGTAAGGAAAAGGATTAATAATGTGTTATGCACTTTGCCAACTATTTTACAGATTACGTGCATACACTTATTTACGGAAGAGGGATAAAACTTTGTGTCAGAGGTTGACATACTACAATAATCTTCAAGATTTATATGTACTAACCCCTTCCACAACCCCAGCCAGCACTGTGAGAGGCCAACCGATTTCCCTACAGTGAGGTTTTCTTTGGATCCCATTTGTCATGCTGAGGGGTTGAGGCCAGGATCTCTGAAGCATTCTTAGTTGATATTAATGAGGAAGACACAAGTCCCTAAAACAAACAAAACAAAACATTCCCTGTGTAAGTGGCTGATTTAATGACTAGACTGAAAAGAGGAATAATAATATCAACTACTGAGACTTCCAGCCAAAATGGAGGCACAGGTAAATACACTTTACCTTCTCACAGAACAAAAAGAAGGACAACAACAAATTTAAAAACAAAAAATTACCAGAACTGCCAGAAAATTAAACTTTATGGAAGTCTGACAACCAAGGAGTTAAAGAAGAAACATTCATCCACAACTAGGGAAGGGGGCAGACTGGCAGCCAGGGCAGAGAGGACTCAGGGCAAGGAAGCGGCTGGAAAACCCAGATGAGCAAGATGGCAGCTGGTGGACTGGGCTATTCCACATTTGCATGTGGATAAACTGGGGGGACCAAGTGGGGAGTGAGAGACCCCTCGCAACCCAGAGTTCTAGCATGGAGAAATAAAACTTCAGAACCTCTGACTGTAAAATCCTGTGGGGGTTGTGGCAGCAGGAGAAACTCCCAGCCTCACAGGAGAGTTTGTTGGAGAGAACCACAAGGTCCTAGAACATACACAAATCCA